TGCAAAAAAATTAGGCAAGATATATTGGACCCATTTTGGATCTGGATCCGTTGGACCCATCGAATCTGGATTCGAGTCTCCATTTCCCAGACACGACGAATCCGGTCGGACCTGGATCCTAGTTACAAAAAGGATCTGGACCGGGTCAGATCCGACCCGTTGCCATCCCTAACCGTGACTCATACCTCTGTCCAATCCCCTTACTCGAGATCTATTCATTCCAAGTCACCATTTTGTTATTTCGTATAGTTAAATTCAATATTTAGGCTCTCTTAATATTTCTCACTATTCCAGAAAAATGGCAGAGACATCTTCATCAAACATTGAAATCCCCAACATGTCAATGAAGTTGTATTTTTCATATGTTGTTCATCCGTACAAAGGTGTTATGATCGGAGTTAAAGGAAGAAAACAGATTGGAATTACTTTTTTATTTTTGTTTGTAACTATATGAATGTATTTTCATAAAAAATTTCTGATTATTTATTAATTATTCAAGAACATGCGCATACTACTCTTATTGTCTCTGTATTGAAACTCGTTCCCAAATTCTATAAGATGATAATGATGTTAAGAGTGGTACATTCCATGGTTGGCATCTAAAGTGATCGGAATAAGGGATTTGACGTTGGTAATTGTCAAGACAGGGTGATATTTGGATTCGGCCATGGTTATGGTGCAGCGGAAGAAGATCAGAAAAAGAAGGAGAGGAAGAATAGGACTTGAGTGAATTGTTAGGGAGAAAATGAACTAGGATCGGAACCCTAATCTGATACCATGAAAGATATTGATCGTTGCCTTTGCATTCATTGATCTTGAGTATAAATATACATGTACAAGAGTCATCTAAGTAAACTAACTAGATACAAATAATGCTAGGATATACATAGTTACCAAACTAATTATATACAAAGTTAACCAAATATATTCTAACATTGAAGAGCGCTATAATTATACGGTTGATGTTGAATGGCTAATAAATTAATCCACTCATGATATTAAATTATTTGCGGATTTGTTAATAATTTGTTAATACATAAATAATTTTAATATAATTTATGTCATGTTAATTAAGTCGAAACCTATATAAGAATTTATGTGATTAATTTATAAGGATTTATTATGTGATTGATTTATACGGATTATGGTATAATAAAATATGACACAATATAATCATCATTCTAATAAAATATAAAAAGATTATTTTTAATAGGACAAAAAAATCCAGAAAATAGAATAAATTTCCTAAATTTTGAAGCACATATCTAATTATATATCCCATTACATTACATATTGCGTAGCAAACAAGCATCTATTATTTTGATTTAATTTTCCTAAAATATAACCACTATTTTTATAAATATAAGATTATTAGTTAATGAATTCATTCCATCAATCCAAACAATAATAAACAGTATTTTCTTCCAATTCTCTTTGCCCTAAAATTTTTTCCCTTTCTTTTTCGTGAAGAGTTTCATACAGTTAGAAGAACCAAGGATAGATTTCTTAAAGAAATTGGCTTAATTAAAATTACCCTACTTACCCATCTTTGAATGAACCGGGAAGAAGATTCAAGGTGTAAAATTTGTGAAATTACTGAGATCATACTTTACCAAATCCAAAGACATTAATGTTACAGCAAAATCTTGGTTTCTTGCAAGACAAACACCCTCAAATCATAAAAAACAAATACATTAGCAAATAGAAAGAGTACTACAAAACCTCTAATTAAGTCAAAATTCGTTAAAGGAGCAAATGCAAGGAGCACTACTACTGCGCATTTAATTAGAACTTTCGGCACTTCATCGTTGCTACGTAAAGGTGTTGTTACTAAGGCTGTCGGGGATAAAGAAATCGTCACAAAGGCTACTGGGCGCGCTATATTGTCAAGTGACCTTGAGAAGATGAGACACAACCGAGACTATTCTTTCTTATTCGATGCAAATTGAAGGTGATGAAGATGATCATTAATCAAGGTTGTAATTTGTTTAATTTGAAGTTTAATGTACGATAGATATATCCAAATCTTTATGTTACGCAAGCAATAGTTTGGTATAGACATCTACTTCAATATGTATATTATTCTACTAGATTAACCAATTGTTCACTTTAATATTAGTTTCATGTAATAATCTTATCGTCTGTATATCTTTGATTTACTCAATCAAGATTATTGGTTTCCTTGAATTATTTCTTCCATCAATAGTATATGTGTATTCTCTTTACTTGATGGTATAGGTCCTAAGCAGGGGCGAAGCCAGGATTTTAAAGCTTTGGGAGCCGACTAATACTTTAATAAAAAAATTAATGTAAACATAATTGGATACTCTAATTTTACCAACAAAAACAAAAAATTAACATACATATCAATCTTGATGATATACAAACACTTCCTCTATTCTTCTTGCATATATGCCTAGATTTATTAAGACAAGCATCATAATATATTTCGTTAGCCATCAATATATCTAATTAAGTATAAACATTACCAAAAAAAGAAAGAAAAAAAAAACCATACGAAGTATAAATAAATTGAGATGATGAATCTAATAAGATAATTTTTAATTATATTGTATCTTATTTATAAATAGGAAATAACAAACAAAGTAGCTTAGGTGAATAAGGGGAAAAAATTAAATGGATCGTCTAAAAAAGTTTAGCAACGAGTAAACTAATCCTAGTATTTAATCCTTAAATCTTAGCAATTAACATATAAAGAAGAATTTTACAAATTATTATACAAAATTAAGAAAATAAAATAAATTTATTAATTAAGTAGTGAAACAAATCAACAATGATGATGGCAAGCCTTAAGTATATGTGAATAAATAACAAGAATATTATTTATAGTAAATATTTATAGGGGACAACAGTTAAAATAATTACAAACTTTTAAATAAAACGGATGTTCAGTAAATTACTGAACATCCGCTATAAAGTAACAATAAAATGTGCAAAAGTTACACTAAAACGCACAAAAGTTACCCTGACATATATAAGAGTTATTTATGCTTCATTGAAAAATTTGACAAAAGTGACACTAAATCTGACAAAAGTGTACCCGATATACAGTAAATTACTGAAAATCGGGTGTATACAAAAGTTTTCCTAAAATAATAAACCATAAAATTGGGCCATGGGGGCCGGGCCTCCATCCACCCCCCATGTAGCTTCGCCCTTGGTCCTAAGGCACGCTTGCACTATGGCTGTCTTGAATTTCGTATTTTAATTTGCTTCATGATTTTGGAATATCAGTGTGTTAATTCGAACCGAAATCATCTAGTTTTGTCTAATTTGAGATCAAGTCAAGAATATTGGTTCAAATGCTGGTACGTTGTTATTCTATTTGATTATCACGCAATATTTTATTTGTAAATCAAAGATGAATTGGCATCAAAAGGTTTAAAAAGAACAAAATCCCAATGCTTAATTATCATAAACTTCTGTGACCAATTTATTTTATTGTAAGTACACATCAATATCAATAACTTATACTAAAGGCAAAATCAGGAATGACACTTGTCATTTACTGGTTAAAAAATTTCCCGCTTTTTTTCCCTATAACATATATTGGAAAATTAAATCTAATTGTTCTAAACATTTATGTGATAATTTTATTTAAAAAAAACCTATTACTCACTAAAAATATATTTAAAAAGTTGATTAAGGAAAACTAATTATCCTAAAGTAAAATGAACTCAAATAAATTTTCACATTATGCCGATCAAAGTGTGTCAAAAATTTATGGACAAATGTATATGACTTCGTATATGCATGGGTACTAACCTAATTACCTAAGCTAATAATTTAATTTTCTTATATAAAACGTTATATCTTCTAAGTTTCTATTACTATAGATTTTTTTTTAATACAATCCAATTCAATAATCTTTACATTTAATTTAAGTTATTTTGTTACAAATAAATTTTCTGGATAAATTATTGTTGAATTAACACCATATTTATTATTTATTTATGGTAAAATTTAATTATGACCGTGCATGGTACGGGAATTAACCTAGTTATTAAATAAAGGGCAAATACAAGTTTGTCTGCTAGATAAATGAATTTTTGTTAATTTGATGGTATTTTGTAAATATATTGAAAAAGCGTAGTCATTTATTCAGTATTTTTAGTAAGCTATCCAATTACGGTTTACAACTTGCTTTTTACATAAAGTAAAGGAGATTAATAAGATATCCCATACATAAGTAAACACAAAATATATATGAAAGAAGAAAGCATGGTTCCTTTAGAATGAAGCTACTTATTAGAATACATCAAGAATAACAATTATCCAAACTGTGCCAGAGTAAGATTTAAACATATTTGATTGCAATACACAGTCTTATGAGAGTGAGGGATAACTCAAATGTTTAAAGATTGATTCTCATCACTCGCGCTAACTTGTGACTCTCTAAAAAAAAACCGTCGCGAGGTTTAGATATTTGTTTAGGGTATTTTTACCCTAGACACGTGGACCAATGAGAGGTCGCCACGTGTCGAGCTTAGGATGGCCCATGTGGCTCAACATCCTCTTGACACTTGGTGCCCTCAGATATGTTTCCAAAATGGCGGCCTTCAAAGGCCCAGATTCCTAAGTGCGCCGTAAAACGGCGCAGCCCACTAAAATCTAGGTCAAGTGACCTAGGTATGGGCGCATTTTCCAACGACCCTATAAATAGGGAGATATTTCCCCACTTTGGGGGACAGATTGAATCATTAATTACACCCTTATTCTCTTACATCAGAGAAAGACCTGAGTTTGGAACCCGAGCAGATACCCACCTAAATTTTCGTTTTCTCTATTCCGTTTCAAGTTACTGACTTGTGCGTCGGAGGCGGAGCGCCACCCAATCGGTGTCTCCGTTTGTTTTGCAGGTACAGCTCACTGCGGATCAGTCTTCGTGTTGTAACTCTCCCAAGGGACAAAAACACCAAAACAATATTCATTGTAGGGATGGCTCTTTCTCCTTTTGTATAGTATTAGAAGAAAAGAGCTCACATAATTCCGGCTCTTCTTGCATAGAAGCTTTTAGCGTAGTCATGGGCTACAATCGACTATAATAACATAAAAGATATATAGACCGTGTTAATATGTTTGTCTAAAATCCTAGCCATTTATTTTGTAAAAAATAAATAAATTAAAAGAGTACATCTATGTTTAAATAAGTACACGTACTATTAATGTCATGTTTTCTTTGGCTAAATGAACATGAATTAATAATTTATGTAATTCGATTTTTTTTTTTTTTTTGAAAACATGTAATTCGATTTATTCTTTTCACGTTTAAGGCTGTGTATTTCTATCTCTTTGTGAAAGTGTAGAGTACGTACCGTAGCAATAGAAATCCTTTCCTTTTCCTTATCAATCACAACTTTGTGCACCACACTCTTCAGTTTGCCATTACTCATCATCTGCATACTCCACATTTTCTTAATCAGTTTCTTAATTATTTCGTACTATTTGATACGTGTATATATGTGTATATATGTATGTGTTAGAGTTTTCCGTTTCTATGCAACCTAATACGTGTACATGCCTTGAATATAAATTATAATAGAGCTAGTTAAAACATAAAAGGACTATTATCGCGGTAATTAAAAACCATAATCAAAATAAAGTACGTTCCTCCAACTGGTCACCAATATTGATAAAAAGAGTGTTAGGAACAATTGGAACTTTAAACCATTGGCCATCTTTGAGAGCTTGTAAACCTTCAACTTGTTTGTCTTGTTGGAGAATGGTAACGACTGTCCCATCCGAATGTGGTTTAAGGCCTATAACGCGTTCTGGTGTTGAACATGGCGGATAATAATTGAATCTTGTGAACAAGTTCATGGCCTCGTCATCTCCACACTCTTTCAAAAAGCTGTCTTCATCCAACTCCACTGATTTCGCAATCGCCTTTAAGAGAGATTTTGTTACTCTCCTCACTTCCACTGCGTACTCCTCCAATGTTTCCCTGCAATATGATCATATATACATGTTTATCATCATCATCATGTAGCTTTGACTTTTGTGCTATATCATACATTATATGAGAAATTTGTGAATATGATCTTTTAAGTGTTCACCTTTTTTCTAAAGGACCTTTTAAGTGAAAAGTTGTGAAAAATGACCTTTTAAGTTCTATAATTTTTTTAGGAGTCGTTGGGTAAGTTTTTCAGGTGCCTACGTCAGAGCTCCGGCATTGACTTTCACGTGTTACTATGTGACTTATAAAAAAATTAAAATTTTCGGTAGAGAAAGAAAGAGCAGGGGGGAAAATGAAAGAGGTAGTTTGAATAGGAGGAAAATTTGAAGGAATTTTTTTTAACTAACACGTGAAAATCAACGTCAGAGTTCTAGCGTTGACCATCCAAAAAACTCACCCAAATACCTCTAAAAACAAAATATAACTTTAAAGGTCCTTTTTTCACAACTTTTCACTTAAAAGATCATTTTACAAAAAGTCGACTACTTAAAAAGTCCTTTTTCACATATTTCTCTATATTATATACTCGTAGTATATGATTGTACGAAGAAAATGAAAATGTCACCTGAAATTTGGAATATATTCAGGCCAAAAGTTGAAATTGCGGTGATCAAGAGGGTAAACTCTGAGATGCAGTCTATCATTCCAGTTGTAATTCTGACACTCAGAAATTGTATCGCCTCCATAACCTTCAAACCAGTCCAATGTTCTGTTGTGCTTCTGTTTTTGTTCCAATGGTAGACCAAAGAATTCCTTCCCGACTTCACGGATTTTATCTAGTAATGAACTAGCCAACCCATGATTGATAAGCTGAAATATAAAAACATCAGCAAGCCGTGAAATAATTATTCTGATGACAGCAAGCAATCTGACAGCTAGAAGAAGAAAAAGCTTAAGCTGAAGGTTGAGGCCCAGGAATATACCATAAGCTTAAGCTGATGGTTGAGGCCCAGGATTATGTTATTATAACTCTATCACTGATGACAGCTAGAAGAAAAATACATGGTATGGCTAATAGTGATCAAAACAAACCTGTAAGCAACCCCATGAATTAAGAACAGAACGAAGTTTTTGCAGTTCTTGTTCGTGTTGGGTTGATGATGCATTTGAAAGTAGGCCAAGATCGATTGATGGAGTCACCATGTATTCGATCTCAGAGTGATTATTATTACTCGTATTATCATCTGATATATTTGAAAGTTGTTGGATTTTGTAAGTTTCGGGAACATCTTTTTCTGTTGTAGATTTGATCAATTCTTGAATTGGTTTAGATGGTATTGCAAGATTCATAGGAGAAATAGATGAAACACCCATTTTGCTTAATTGCAGAGTTTTAAGATGAATATACTTAGAAAATACAGATGATAATGATTAGATTATGATGATAGTAAATTGGATATATATATGTTTTTTACATAGAAGTCTTCATATGTACATAAGTGATACAAATGATTGAAAGACTAGTTAACAAGTAACAACCAACTAATTAATGGCCTATCTAGGGGTGTACAAAAATTGGCCCGGACCTGAAACCGGACCTGAACCGACCTGAACCGGACCGGACCTGACCCGGACCTGTTGATTCAGGTCCGGTCCCGGTTCTTAAAAATCCAGGTTCCCGGTCCCGGTCCGGACCCGGTCCAAACCCGGGGTTTTCAGGTCCGGACCTGAAACCCGGGAAATCGTAATTAAAAAAAAAAAAAAAAAAAAAAAAAAATCTGATTCTCTCAGGAGCCTCCCTCAATCTCTTTCATATTTTTAAGTTCTAACCCTAACTCCCTAAGCCCAAACTCTCAGCCTCCCTCAATCTCAACTTCTCAACGCGGCTGTCCGGCTGTCCCAACTCGCTCCGGCCACCGCCCACTGCCGACACCTCCCTCATTCTCTCAGGCGATGCACACCGATAATATCTGGTAAGTATTTGCTTATAATTTTGGTATTTTTAATTCGAAATAATAAATTAAGTGTGAGAATTTATATGTTTATTCTTGTTTCAAATTTTCAATTGCTTTTAATGATTGTTTGATGTTTGCATGTTGAATTTCTTATTTTTAGTTCATCTCTTTCGAATTTCTGTTTTTTTTTTTTGGTTTTTTTGAGTTTAGGGTTCATTAGAATTAAGAAGTTTAGGGTTTAGGGTTCAAGTGCGAAATTTAGTTCAAAATTTTGTGTTTATTATGATTATTAAGATTAATTTAGTGCGAAAATTTGTGTGGTAGGGTGGGTTGGGGTGGGGTTATGGTGGGGTTACGGTGGTACGGTTCTGGTGTGTGGGGGTTAAGGGTTAAGGGGTGGCAGTGGGGTGGGGTGGGGTGGGTTGGGGTGGTGAGCTGGGGTTTTTGGGATGGCTGGATGGAAAATTGTGAATGTTGATGGGGTTGTCGGGAGTGGAGATGGGGTTTTCGTGGTGGCTGGTAGGGTCACCGAGAGTGGAGATGGGTTTTCGGGGTGGCTGGGTGGTGTTTTGGATTGGAGGGGGTTTTGGAGTGGTTGAAAGGAGTCAGGGCAATGTTGGTTCTGTTTCGGAGCGTGTAGGGGTTTTTTGTGGATTGAGAAATTGGGTTGGATTGGTGTTTGGCTCGATTCATTTGGAGCAAGGTTAAATGTGTACTGTTGGTTCCGATTGTGATTTCCTCCTTTTCAAAGGTGAGAAGGATGGAGTAGCAAACTCACGGGGTCTTTTGTTGGATTGAATGTTCTGGGGTTGAGGTGGGTCGATGGTTTTGAAAAAACTCTTGAGATTCACTGTGGTTGTTCTAAATTTTTCAGTTCTCTTTAGGCCAATATTCATGTTTGAGAGATTCTGGGCAAGCAATATAGCAGACTTACATAACCCACTCTTGTCAACCAAAAAAGGAACAGACATATAAGGATTCAAAGAGAAAGTATCTGCTTATGGCCAACTCTATTACACCTAGAGCACAAAATAAACAAATTCTCATATCTGAGTAGCTGATTTGATCAAGGATGGCCATTGGTGAGACATTTCTGTCAGCATTTCTGCAGGTGTTGTTTGAGCAGATGCTGTAAACTGGAGGGAAGAAGTTCTTGAAGCTGATTGGCGGATTTGATCTGCCCAAAACTATCAATAAATGGAAAACGCAACTTACTGTGTTGGAAGCTCTGTTGGAGGATGCTGAGCTGCAGCAGTTTCACAGCAAACCTGTCAAGTTATGGCTAAATGATCTCCAAGATTTAGCTTACGACATGGAGGATATCTTGGATCATTTCGCAATTGAAGCCCAGCGTTACGAGTTGGAAAAGGCGGAGGAAGATCAAGATCAAGATGATCACTCTCACCAAGGGATTCTAGACAATATGGTTTGTGCTGCTACCTTGCTAATTTTACTTTTCTCCCTAATTGCGATAATACTAGTTAGAATATTAGATACTAGTTTTTGTAAAAAAAAAAAAAAAAAAAAAAGATTGAATAAGGAGTCTTTTACAGAAGAAGAAGAAGAAGAGCAGTGTTTTACCTGTTCTCAGGCTGAGTTACCATCATATGCCATATCATTTGAAGCGTGTCTTTGCTTATTGTTCTGTGTTTCCAAAAGATTACAAGTTCAAAGAGATGGAAGTTGTCTTACTATGGATGCCTCAGGGCTTCCTGCCAGAAACCCAAATTGAAAGTATGGAAGATATGGGCCACAAATACCTTAATGACTTAAGATTATGTAATTTTATGAGTTTTCGTGGACTTATTTGTATTTTCGGTGGACTCATTTGTATTTTTGGTGTTTGAGAATCGGGACTTTATAGACTTTATGTAGTTTTCGGTGGACACAAGTATTTTTGGTATTTTTGGTTTGTATGTAATTATTAAATTATGCAACAGGTCTAAAAATCACAAAACAGGTCCATATGCAGGTCCAACAGGTTTTGTATTAAAAAAAAAAAACGAAAAAGACACAAAACAGGTCCATTCAGGTCCAAACCCGGACCGGACCTGATTTTTCAGGTCTGGCCCGGAACCGGACCTGTTAATTCAGGTCCGGTCCCCGGTCCTCATAATTACCCAATTCAGGTCCCCGGTCCAAACAGGTCCGGTCCAGGTCCGGTCCGGTTTTGGACCGGTGTACACCCGCCTATCTCACGTTTATTTATTTTTTAATATTTTTTTAATATTTTTTTTTTAGGCAAGCTGATATGATTAATTAAACCTTAGTTGATCAATAATACATAGAAAATTTTCATAATTTTATTTCATTACGATTTAATTAAGGTCTAGTGGCGACTTAAAATAAAATGTGGGAAAACATGTGAGGCAATTTGTTTGAATTTTTTTAAACATGCTGAGTGTTTTTCAACTTCTACAAGCTAAGTAATGTCACTAATATGTAATCATATACGTAGTAGTATAATAAGCTATTGCTATGACTAGTGTGTACTTAGGAAGTTAGTTCCCTAGCAGTTAGGGTTAGTAATAATCTACTATATGTACTGATAATGTACGTAGTATCACTAGTGAGATTGTATGAAAGGTCCAGCTTATAACGATTCTAATTTCAAGTTAGTCAATACATGCATTTTTTTAAACACTAATACATTTATTGTGAATGTGTAAAGATTTAAGATTTGATATAAAATAAGTACAGTTTGAGATGAATCTAATAAAATTAAATTTTAAGTACATGAAAATTTTATCTATAAGTATAAATCATCAATGTTAATCAAAAGAGAAGTATATGAATGGAATATTTGTGTACAACTACTTGATTTTTTGCTCTTTTGTGAGCAACTACCCATTTTTATTCAAAAAGCTGGGAATGGGGTTAATTGGGGTAGGAATGGAGTTAACTAGGGTGGGAAGTGTAGGGGAATATAGGTACTACGCAGCGGAAATAAACATGAATCATATTCATATAGCACCTAACCAAGGATCTCATGCATAACATATAAAGAGTAAGAATTATACCTTTGAAGCGTGATTCCACTAGCAATCGAGCAAGAACAAGGGAGACAAAGAACCTCAAACGTGATTCCTCTACTTGGTCCACAGGCATGGATTAAGACCTCCACTAATGCTAGTTAGTCGCGATCGAACTCTTCAATCGACTTTCTACGGAGAAGTATGAGCAACGAACTAGTCACGAACCACCGCGAGCACCACAGGGGTGGACGGCCGCAAGTCCAAGGGGGGGAGAGGGGTGCCGTGAGAGAGAGAGGGGGAGATGAGGGTTTTGGGACTTGGTTGCCTTGATTCACAATTCACTGTAAGTTAATTGTGACTCCTATATTTTACAACCCTAGGCATGAATCTTATTTATAGATCATATCCATAAATAAGAGTCCATGACCAAGCCCAATTCCTAATCCCAATCAAACTACACTAGCCCAATCATATTCATGATTAGTTAAATACTCATATAAGGCCCAATAATGGGCCTCTTACTTGCTTAACCCAATACCTTTGTGTGTGACCTCATAGGATCCATTCTAGCGGGCTTTGGGCTATTTTACTAGCCCAAAGATCATCTCTCATAGTCTAGCAACAGATGATGACGCCCCAAGAGAACGAACTTATTATCTCCATAATAGTGATCCTTGATATATCTAGCTATTGCACTTATTGAAGACATAACTCCTTCAATCTCCCACTTGTCTGAGACATGTGCGCAATATTCAAATTCCTTAAGGCAATGTGTGTCGATTTGATAATATGATTGCATCCCATGTCGTGATCATATTAGTCCACAAATCTTTTCTTGAAAACTGAGTGAGAATTAAAAAATAAATGGTTACTGTGTAATCCATTTGAGCACGGCCATGCATTTTCTGAATTCTCCCTCTTCAAGGGGCCAAGACATATTCCTAATTAAATAGGTAGACTCAATTCAATCTTGTGGTAATCAAAGCTCCCACTCAATTTCTGAAATAACCGGGAAACACCCTTTATAATCTCCAGTTACGGGCAGACGTTTGAGTGTACCACAGCCATAACATCCATTGAATGAAATAAATGTTCCACTCATGTCAAAGGAATCCACTAATATATCCGGAAGCTCTATACTTGAACTTCAAAGTAGATCTATAGTTCGATCATGCATCATTCATGCATATCCATGTGATTGACCGAGCCTCACTATGCTCCTATAGCCCATGAAACTGCGCTATCCAATCAATCTTACATGCTAGTCCATTATTAGAAATCATTTATGTCCAATTTAATGACTCTAAACTAGGAACTTAAATAATATATGGATTTTGTTCACCTGTGGGGTTTCATTCACCAGGTCATCAACCTGATGAGCCCATCAATCCATAATTATTTTGGACATTTTATTTAATATTGAAAACCATCATTAAATAAGAGA